CAGGAGAAGGAATGGTAACTACACCACCACCTTCTTGAGGCACATAAGGTACTAACTCTTCTTCCTGTTCCTCTGCACTCTCCCGCCCGGGGCGCTTATTTTAATCCACCTGAAACTGGAGTTTGTTACTGTTGAGTTTACCTACTCAACCAGTTTGGAAGCTGCCTGAGGGTAAAGGGTGTGTGTGTGCAGTCTTTATGTCCCCACAGCCGAGCACGACTACACAACGGGGCTTCGGTGAACGAGTGTTTTATCAGCATAAACTGCAAGAGGCAACAAGCCTTTCAAAGAGGTTTTCAGCAGAGAAATGAAGGGACTGGAGCCACGAAAGGCGACGCTGGCACGCCAGGCTACCTCGCTCCCGCGCCTCCCCTGACTGAGGGCCGATCGACTCGGAGTCCCAAGGTTACTCCGATTTTTTGCGTCCGAGGACACAGAACCGCAGTACACAACGGTTAGGTAGAGAGCGGAGCCGTAGCCCCGCCCCGCCCAACAGGAAGAGCCTTCACACGGAGGACTCACCACTACCGCCATCTTTCCCGCCGTCCTACACCGGAAGCTGACGCGGAGCACGCCGGGACTGTGAGAGCGCCGACGCATGCGCAAAGGCTAAGCCCGCAATGCTCTCCGAGAGCGCCCCCTCCCTGGCAGCTCAGCAGCAGTTCTCGCCAATGAAGGCACAGGATCAGCTCTGCGTCAGTAACCCGCGACCAATCAAGATGTCGGAGAACCGGAATTGGTACCTGGCCTTTCGTTAATCCGTCCTATTACAGTTTTCTGATACGCTGTATAAAAGGTGCTTCTGCCTCTGTTACTGCCATTGGTCCTCACCTGAACCCGGTTGGGCCTGCGTCCCTGTTTTACAGAAGAGGTGACAACAGAGATGGAGATCGCTGTTGCAGTGTGCCAAGCGAGGCACATAACGTACTCCCATCTTCACAGTACTTCAGTGAAGTCAGTACTAAGACTGCTCATCTTCCAGGGAAAGAAACTGTCAGACCGCCGGACGTGTTTGTGTCTTTCCGCAAAGTCTGACTTTATTGCATAAAATAAAATGTAGCATAGCAAAGCAGTCAGGTCGAAGGATAACAGCCCACGTAGCCAATCACTCTGAGCGGTCTCCGGATGTACCAAGCATGTATCCTCGAATGGAGGGAGCCCATCTGATCCGTTTGTGGAGGTCTCCCGAATGGTCCGAAAATGGGCGCTGAGTCTGGGACATGGGTAGCCAAGTATCGTGCAGAATCTCAGGTACCAAGATGTTCGAATCTCTCACGGTGACCTGGAACGACGTGCTCTTGGTCACGGTCCCGGGAGCAAATGGCAAAGTGGTGTTGGAGAGGGCTCCTTTTTTGCGCAAAGTCTCTTAGATTAGCACACGAATGGAGTCCTTGTCCTTGCGGCTTGACAAATACACCATGCATATTTAGGATGTTAAAAATCTATCGTTTAGATTTCTGTTTCTATTTCTTTCTCTCTCTCTTTTGTTGAGGTTTTTCGCTATAAGGCACGTGTGCTCACCACAAAGACAGAAAGCGATAAATCAGCCCCCAGGGGGATGGCCATGCTGCAATTTCTTCTTCATTCTCCTCTTGGGATCTTGGGCACACTCGCACACGCACCAGCCAGAACCGCAGTGGACTACATGGGAGGCCAGCGACGTAGCCATTACGCCATCTGCTCGTCCCCTCTTTCTATTTCTTAACCAACTCCTTTATTTCAAGATTTCCCAATTAAGGCCATAGATTTGAGCTGGAAGGTTGATAAGTCAAGCAAACAACTGGCTGTCTTCATTGGCAGGTTCATAATTCGGTTGTTTGACTCAGGTATTTGTATAGACTTTGTTACCCTACAGGGCAGGATATGGAGTCTAGCTAGGCTCTGTGAAGAGCTCTATGAAGTAGGCTCTTAAACTTTCTAAAATCCACGGACTGAATGAGCATATTCAGCGCTGTACATTTCTGTTTCTAATAAGGTAGGCCAACCTTACATAGATCTTGGTGGTTGTTTTGTTTTTCATTTTCTGAATTTCCAACTGAAATAAGACATTAAGCATACTTTTTCTTCTGGATTCCTAGAAGTAGATAGACTTCAGAATTCTCATTAAAAAAAAAAAAAAAAAGAGCTTGCCTCAGATTTAGTTGCCTTTTTTCTTCCTAGTTTTTCACTGTGTTTCAGGCACACCACTGAAAATGGACCCCAGATACGTATGTATTGATGATGTAATATGTGATACTCTTATGCTTGTCCTTCCCAGTTACAGCCAGTGAGTGTTTTCTCCTCCCTCTGACTCCCTGTGTCTTATTTCCCTTACTCCAAGTTAGCTTCATAATATCTCATACTTTCCATAGGGAAGAAATTCTCAGAACTTCAAAATGTTTAAAGAACCTGTCTATTTTCTTCTTATCCCCCCACCCCCGCCACTTCATAAAAATGAATTGGTGGGACCAGCAGTTAGCGTAATGGCTATGTCACTGGACTCCCATGTAGTTGACCACGATTTGAGTCTTGGACCCGGTGGCTTAAACTCACGCAAGGTGCATGTGCGTGTGTGCCCAAGATCCCGAGAGGAGAATGGAGGAGAAGGAATTGTGGCATGGCCATCCCCCTTAGGGGGGTGATTTCTCGCTTTCTGTATCTCTGTCTCTCTCAGTCTTTCTGGCAAGTGCATGTGCCCTGTAGCAAAAACCTCTCCATAAAAAAAGAAAAAAAATGAATTGGCTGGGGGCTGGCAGGTGGTGTGGTGATTAAGGGCACTTGTCTCCCATATGGCTGACCATAGTTCAAATCCTAGGCCTGGCAACTTGCTCACTTTCTATCTCTCTCTCTCTCTCTGTCTCTCTCTCTCTCACACACACACACACACACACACACACACCCTTGCTCTCACTTTGTCCTTCTCTGGTCAAATTAAAATAAATAAAGTTAAAAAAAATTGACTGGAGGCTATGACTGATCAGTCTCCTTGATAATAGTTACTGTTCTCATAAATTAATCAGCTGACATTCTGGTTTATATATCAGCTTTAGGAGATTGTCATTGTCATTTTTGAGCCTACCTCCTGAAAATGTGATTTAATAGAAGTTTTATTTTTAAATAAAAATTTCCAGCCTGCAAGACTTTGATGAAGTCACCAAGATAATGCTCCTAGTTTGTTAGTCCTGGAGACATGCTTCAGTGTCGCTGTGTGAGAAACTGACAAAATAGTTCATGTGGTACAGGAAAATATGATTTGATTTCTTTGGAGGGAATTACAGAAATGTGGAAAGGAGAAAATTGGTCATTGTTAATATGAGGGACAGGATGACCCCAAAGTGGCCAACATAAAAAGGGTCCATTTGACAAATTTAGAGAGGAATCATGAAGCTTGTTTATTGCATTCACTAGGCTTTTATTGAGCATCTACTATGTATGAGGCATGTGCTTAGGTGCTATGGAGACACAAAACCAAAGATTCTTTTGAGACTAGTTCTAAAACCTTTTCCCAGTAATGTAGTTGCCAAGAAACTTTCTGACATTAACCTGGCTTCTCTGGCTGGGAAATGGTACATGACTTTCTATAGCAGATGGGATTCCTTTGGCAATTCTGCTAATACACAAAGTGTGGGTTGGCATTCTGATTCCAGTTGAGTTCCTGGAGGTGAGTCATTGTGTGCTGGTCCACTTGCAGAGTTCCAGGAACTGTAAGGCTGAAAGACTAGATCATGAGGCCAGCTACAGTAGCATAGCAGTAACAATGTTCCACAATGCTGAAGCCATATGAAAAGGTTCTGGGTTCATATCCTGAGATCTACGTGTACACACCAGGTACACACACAAGCCCATAATCTTGGCCTGCTGAGGCTGGGCAAGGATCACAGTGTAAAGACCCTATTGGGGGGCCAGTAGGTGGTATGGTGGATAAGGACGCTGGATTCCCAAATGACTGACCACAGTTCGGGTCCTGGACCCGGTGGCTTGCTTTCTCACTTTCCCTTTCTCTCTCTCTCTCTCTGTCTCTGTATAGTCACATTTTTAAAAAAAGTAATAACCATAAATGGAATTAAATAAATAATTTTTTTTTAAAAAAAGAAGACCCTATTGGGAGTGTTTGTCTCGCTCTTAAAAGAGAGAGAGAGAGACTAAATCTCAAGCCAGACAATAGCTTTATGGGTGAATAATCTTTCTTGGGCTCTTAAATTTGCTTGCTTTCTCACTTTCCATCTCTCTCACTCTCTCTCATTCTGTATCTCTCATCAAATTAAGATAAATAAATTTAATTTAATTAATTTTTTAAAAAAGGCACTGGGCTCCCACATGGCTAACCATGGTTTGAGTCCTAGACCTGGTGGCTTCCTTTCTTACTCTCCCCACTTGGGTCAAAATTGGAAAATAAGGGACCAGTAGTTAGCATAATGGCTATGTCGCTGGACTCTCATGTAGTTGGCCACGGTTTGAGTCCTGGGCCCAGTGGCTTGAACTTCACACCGGGCGCGTGTGCTTGCATGCCCAGGATCCCGAGAGGAGAAGAGATTGTGGCATGGCCATCCCCCCGGGAGGTGATTTCTCGCTTTCTGTCTCTCTGTCTCTCTGTATTTCTGGCGAGCGCACACACCTTATAGCAAAACCCTCTAAAAAAATGGGAAAATAATAATAATAAAAATGATAAATAAAGTTGAAAAATAATTCTTAAGAAAAGTACAAATTTCTGTAGAATATAAGCTATAGTAAATAACGCATGGACAATAGAGATGGGGCAGTGAGAGGGGTCTGTGCTAGGTCAGTAACCTGTGAGCCTTCAACAATGTCTGCCTGCCTTGTCATCTGTAGTCTGCCACAGGATTTTCAGTAAATAAGTGTCAAGCATTACAACAACCCTAACCACGGCCCAACGGCCTACAGGTGTCAGGAACATGCTTTGGTTTTATTAGGGTTAATGCTCCTCAGGTTCACTGGCCAGGGAGACAAGGAGAAGCATGCGGAGATGGAGAGGTGATAAGGAAGGAAGAGGTTTTCTCTTCTCAGCCGAATTCCCTTCCTTTGCCCAGCAGCCTTCCTAGTGCCCCCTTGACTTCCTTGTTCCTCAGAGTGTAGATGAGCGGATTCACCATGGGCGTGACCACTGAGTAGAAGAGGGAGATGAATTTGCCCTGGTCCTGGTTGCTGCTCTTTGCTGGAAGCAGATACCCATAGATCGCGGAGCCATAGAAGAGGAACACCACCAGCAGATGGGACAGACACGTGTTGAAGGCCTTCCGCCGCCCCTCTGCCGAGCGGATCTTCAGCACAGCCCGCGCGATGTAGCAGTAGGAGATCAGAATGATGCCAAGCGGAACTGCCGTGAAGAAGGTGCAGACCCCGTTGAGCACAGCCTCATTGAGACTTGTGTCCCCACAGGCGAGTTTGATCATGGCCGGCACCTCACACAGGAAGCTGTCCACCCTCCGACGCCCACACAGCGGGAGCTGCAGAGTGAACGTCGACTGGATCACAGAGTTGCCCAGACCACCCAGCCAGGCCACAGCGGCCAGCAGCCAGCAGAGCCGAGGGCTCATGATGGTGGTATAGTGCAGGGGCCGGCACACGGCCACGTAGCGGTCGAACGCCATCACCACGAGAAGGATGCACTCAGTAGCCCCGAGCCAAAGGAACACGTAGAGCTGGGTCACGCAGCCCCCATAGCTGATGGTCTTGTCTGGGCCCCATAAATTGACCAGCATCTGGGGGACCGAGCTGGTAGTGAAGGCGAGGTCCAGGGAAGACAGGTTGCTGAGGAAGAAGTACATGGGTGTGTGCAGACGGGCATCCAGGCGCGAGAGCAGGATGATGGCTGAGTTCCCAACGAGGGTCAGCAAGTAAGAGAAGAGAATGACGACGAAAAAGACCATCTCCAGCTGGGGCTGGTCAGACACGCCCATCAGGATGAAGCCCTCGGAGGAGCTGTTGATCGCCCCTTCCATCCGGGCACCTTCCGCCCCTGGAGGACCGGCCAGGGCAAACTGCTGCAAGAACCACGGGGGAGGAAGGCGCTGAGATGAGGCGGATCTGCATGGGGAGGTCTCACACTTGTCTGCACTCCATGGTTAAGTACCAATTTAACTGTTTTTTTTTTTAATTGCCCAGAGGGTGTGTGTGCTTGCCAAAGAGAGACACCAAACACCCTTACTCCCCATGGGACATGATCACGCTGCGATCCCTTCTCTCCATCTCTCCGTCCTGTCAGCATTTGGGCCTCATGCATATGCACCCGGTGTATCTTTCAAACCTCCAGCGCTGGCGTCTGAATCACAATCAATCAATTGGAACCCCGCTGCCAACCACAGCACTTGACCACTGTGCTATGGGGCTGGCTCCAGTGCCAATTTAATTTTTAAAAAAGAATGATTTAAGATTGTATTTGGAATCATTATTCTTCCATTTGGACCAGAGAGAAAGAGGGAGGGAGAACAAGAAAGCAAGTTGTCAGATCTAGGACTCAAAGAGTGGTCAGCCATGTGGGAGTCCAACACCTCAACACTACACCACCTGCCGGCCCCACCAATTTATTTATTTTCTTTTTTTTCCTTTTTTTTTTTTAGATAGGTTTTTGCTATAGGGAACGTGCGCTCACCAGAAAGACATAGAGATAGACAGAGAGACAGAAAGTGAGAAATCGCCACCCCGCCCCCCCAGGGGGGCTGGCCACGCCGCAATCCCTTCTCCTCCATTCTCCTCTCGGGATCTTGGGCACGTACACACACATGCCCAGCGTGATTTTAAGCCACTGGTGCCAGGACTCAAACCACGGTCAACTACATGGGAGTCCAGGAACATAGCCATTACACCAGCTGCTGGTCTTCTAATTTATTTTCTTAATTGCCAGAGGGTGAACGCACTCACCAGAGAGAGATAAAGGGAGGGAGAGGGAGAAAGCACTCTCTAATAGAGTGTGGTTATGCCACATTCCCATAGGGATTTGGGGACATGCATGGATGCACACACACCTCGCATGTCTTTGAAGCTACCAAGGCCAGGATTCAGATCCTACTGTGTGCCATGTAACCTGCTCCTTTAACTACTAGGCTACGGGGCCGGCCCCCAATTTAATATTTATAATTGCAGGCTTCCATTGTAATCCCCAACCTAGTGTTAGTTACAGTTACACAGGAAACACGAGAATGTCAAACACAAACTAACACAGAAATGAAGGAAGCACATTAAGGAGGCAGAACAAAAGGATCCGGGCTCTTCATTTCACAGCAATGGTCACAACAGTATAGAGGTAGCTGGCTGTGAGAGTCAGATGTAGGAATTCTCAAAATACAGATTTCCCCAGCCAAGGTTTCAATACAGTCAGGAGAGGGAGAAGCAGACACATTGCATTTGGAAAAACTCCCAGAAGATTCTGATAAACTTCTCTTCTCTTCTATATCCCTCCCCTTTCAGGTGACAATGCCTAATCTACAAAGACAAACTCTCAGGTAGAACATGCTAAGTCTATAAAATCATGAAAAGAACAGAAAGAGTGAACATAGAGGGACCAGCAGTTAGCATAATGGCTATGTCACTGGACTCCCATGTAGTTGAGCGTGGTTCGAGTCCTGGATCCGGTGGCTTAAATTCATTCTGGGCACGTGTGCCCAGAGGAGAATGGATGAGAGGAGAATGGATGAGAAGGGACTGTGGCATGGCCATCTCCCCCTGGGGGGTGATTTCTCATTTTCTGTCTGTCTGTCTCTGTCTTTCTGGTGAGCACACGTGCCCTATAGCAAAAACATCTCCAAAAAAAAAAAAGAAGAAAAGAAAAAGAAAGAATGAACATAGACTTCTTCGCCAGATACAGAAGATCCAAATATGTGAATTAAGAGGAGGAAGGAGTCAGCAGGTGGCATGGTGCTTAAGGCCCTGGACTCCCACATGGCCAACCGCAGTTCAAGGCCTTGGCCATGCAGCTTTCTTTCTCACTTTTCCTCTGTGTCTCTCTGGTGAGTGCACGTGCCCTGTAGCAAATTTAAAAATAATGATAATGAGGGACCAGCAGATGGCATAACGGTTATATCACTGGACTCCCACATAGTCTACTGCAGTTGGAGTCCCAGACCCGGTGGCTTAAAACTCACACTGGAGGGACCAGCAGTTAGCGTAATGGCTATGTCGCTGGACTCCCATGTAGTCAACCGTGGTTCGAGTCCCAGACCCG